TAAATGGCACACAAACACAGACACGAGAGTCAACTCGACAAATACTGTGACCCACGTTTCATGAACACTATACGCGTGTGGCTGACTTGAAAAGAGATTTCCTATCTCACTCGTTTTTTTTGCTTTCTTTTTTCACTTGTGCCTTTACTTCTCTCTTCTCTACTTTCATTTGCGTATCTACATATATACCATGTACAATATAGATCCTCTTAGAGACTATAGGGTCGTATGCTTTTGCTCTTGTTTCGGTAGTGCGCCCGTTTCTGAATGAAACAAAAAAGCAGTTAAAGAATAAAAGAAGAGGGAAAAAGGAAAGATGAGAAAAGATACAGTTGGAGTTGGAGATAATGCTGCGGGTGTTTTCGAGGGCGAATCTCAATCTATTTTCGACAAGTTGAAAAAATAGTACAACATATTTCAGGGTAAACTTCTCAATTTCGTCAATTATTGCTTTATGTGGTACATTAACAGAAGGGAATAACTGTAAGTTTTCTGATTGATTGAGCAATGACATGTATGACACATATTATTGGATATCGAAGTCTGTCGAACAACTTCACAGTTTTCTCGACGATATGATTTTATACAATACATCTGTTAGTATTATATTATAATCCCCTGTCGTCGATTTCAGTTTTCCTTACACCTGAAAGGTTCTCTATCTGTCATTGGAAGATTAAGGTTGAAATCGATCAGGTAGCACATTTTAAAAACTATCTCTTCTTTCAGGAAAAAAAAACGCTAAGAGCAGACCGAACCGAAAAAAGAGTAAACTTGTTGAAAAATGCATTTGGCTCCAGTGACAATGAGTCAACACAGCAAAACTTTACCACAATGTTCCATTATGAACGAGGCAAGTTTCGTGAGTTGTGAATGGTTACCGTCATTTATCACACGAGGATTAAGAAAGTGTACCAACACTTCAAAAACATTCAGAGAAAAATAAGAAAAGTCTTGAAAGAAAACTGTCAAAACATCAAAAACTTTCCGATATTAAATTTTTTCTCCACAGATCCAAATATTAAATACTAGTAATAAAAACAACACGTCCCTATGGTATAATTCCTTTATGTAAAGAAATATATTTTTCATACTATGAAATTTTTTTTTGAAAGCACCTGACACAATAGAATTTATCCTTAATGTTCTAGAATCTCTTGGATATGCGCTTCCTTTTCAAAATAATCTCAATTCTACAATGCAGTCTCTGACATAATGGAAAATTCTTTATGATGCAAAAAAGGCTTCTAAAGGTATGATGAAAAAAAATCAGCATGACAATCGAATCGAAGTCATTACGCAAGAATAAAAGAAGTTGCAATTTCATTTCAATTCGCAAGACTCAACTGTCATTTAACATTCCTTGGAAAATTCGTTTTCGCCTTTATTCTCAAATTTTCTATTAACTCTCTTTACTTCCCTTCCACCATTTCAAACATTTTAAAAATAAGAAACATCTGCTATAATCCGTGATTTGCATGACAAGAGGTAGAGTAATTTCAATGCATACGAAGTGTAAATAAAATTATTTTTCCCGAGAAGTTTAAATTGCATAGAAGGAATTTAAATTAAGGGGATATTTAAACGAATCCCTGAGGTGAAAGAAGAAAGAAGAGAGAGAGAGAGACGCTATTCAATGAATTCAACGTTTCTTGTCGATCCCGATCATCACAAATTACTTTCGTCATTCGCAACGGCGTATTTTAACGAAAATCCTCCAAGGACGCTTTTCCTCTCCTCTTTCTCTCTTGTTTCTGGTGGTTCATCGAACCAACATCACTACTACAACGAAAATCACCCGGTGGTAGGCCCGCGGGGGTTGTAGAAATCTTTGATAAGGCACGGCTAGCGCAAACGCTGATTGGTCGCCCGAGGCATCGCGTCACCATTCAAACAATGCGCTTCGTGCTAACAATGCAATCGCGACCGAGATAAAGATATATAGATCTATTCACCTACTTCACGCGCCTATACCGACTCCGATCTATTCTCAACCACAACCATCGACCCCTCTCTATTCGTTTCCAACCCTCCATCTCTCCACTAACGTATTTCTGTTATGCCTTTCTTCCTATTTCCGCATCGCTTTACACTCTCCGTCACCTTCTTCGCCTACAAGTGCATAAACATACTGTTGATACTATCAGTTACAATTCATACAAAGTTTGCGAGAGAGCATTCTGGAAATAAATTTTTTTCTTCCATCTCTGATAATGAAGAGCCAGAAAAGACACTCAAAAGAATCATTCTTTTGAATATTATTCTTGAATTGTTCTTTTGAATGTCCTCTCCTGACTCTGAATAATGTCGATAAATGCAAATAAGAAACTAAAAAATTTAAATTTTACAAAAATATTCTCACCTTGTAACAATTTTCACAAACTAAAAACGAGTTTATAGTATCGCTTAACTTGAGTAACTCTAGCCTGATTGCTCATCACTCTCCTGACAGCATTATCTGTCTTATTACACTCCCGTCGATTTTTACAGACTGCTCCAACGACCTTAGGTTCCTTTTTACTGTAACTACGATAACGAGGAACTTTCTCGGAAATGTCGAGAATGAGGAGAAAAAAACTGCAGGCGAAACAATAAAAACATTCGAAGTGACGAGCAGTTGAAGTCTGGCTGGACAGAAGATACTTCAAGACAAAAGAAAAAAACCAAGTGAGAAATAGACAAGAAAAAAATTCTGATGTCTGAGTGTCAGTAGATCAGTTTCTTGTTGTCACTTTTAATGATATAGACAAGTGATAACTACGCACAAATTATTTTTTCGAAAAAGACAAGTGATAACTTTTAGGAAGAGGACAAGTGATCACTATGTTTGGGTAGGACGAGTGACAACTTGAAAGCGGACAAGTGATCACTCCGTTTCGGTAAAACAAATTCCAATTTGACTTTGCTAAAATTCTAACTAACTTTGCTAAAATCAGAGATGAAATTATGTTTTCAAGATAAGACAAGTAATAACTTCGGGAGGAGGACAAGTGATCACTCTATTTAGGTAAGACAAGTACTAACTTTGCAAACATTAGCGGTGGAATTAAGTTTTCGAAAAAGACAAGTGACAACTTCAGGAAGAGGACAAGTGATCACTCTGTTTGGGTAAGGCAAGTGACAACTTAAAAGAGGACAAGTGATCATTCTGCTTGGATGAGACAAGTGCAAAACCGTTTGCAAAAATGGACAAGTGATAATTTTCCTACACCTTATGACAGAAGCAATAGTCCCTATAGAGGTTTGATTCTAATTATACTTTTCCGAAAGATGCTCGTCTTTCCGAAAAGCATAATTATAATAACTTTGTCGGTAAAGGACATGTGTCAACTCTCAATCCATTCAGTCATGGAGCAGTGCGCGTCAAAGATCATCATGACTCGGAGGTTTCTCCCCATTAGCAGCAATGCTCATGACCAGATGTCGCGGTACACTTTTTTTGTCGATTTGGATCCTTGTAAGCACAGCATTGTCACGGGTCGGTGTCTAGAACCAAATGGCCCTCATGTGACAAACACCTTGGGCGTCCAACACTAACTTATTTCAACACAAAATTAATTATATACCAAAACTGTAAACCATCATTTCTGTCAATTCCAATCAAATATACAAAAGAAAAAATATTTAAAACACGAAAAGTGGAATATAACTTCGAAACGTTAATTACTAACGGAGTATTTTCAAGAAGGTCTGCTTTTATTTTCTGTAAATTATATCCCTCTAGATATAAATAAAACTTAAAGAGAAAGAGTCTTCGAAATCTTATTTCTCCATTTGATTCATGTTCGCAAAGTTCAGCTCCCTTCGGTTGTTATCTGGATACTATTTCATAGAAAAATTTCACGCAATTAGAATAATTCCATTCACTAGAGCTTTAATGATATTCGCATCTCTTTAGCTAATGTAATTATATTAACTATGATAAATGCAATTGCCGTCAGTATTAACACCTGTTAATCAACAGAATATTTTTTTCCCCTACTAGAGGTTTTAAACCTTCTATTACCGTAATCTATACCTGAAACATTATATATTGCAATACACCATTACATTTTAATTATTAAGCATACATCATTATATGTTTATTACAACATTAAACAGAACCACAAATTGCACAAGACAGAGAGAATATATTATGCACACACACTCTGATATTACTTTAATGAGAAGGGATAATCATCTCGCATTAAAAACCGAAAATAATCTAAAATCATAATTTCCGAATTCATATAAAAAGAAACAAAAAAAAATTCAAAAACTCAATGATATTATTTAGATAAAGTGGAATTAAAAAAAAAATTGATTACAAATTTTTTTTTTATTTTTAATAGCACAATATAGAGAGAGAGTGTTGGGTCAATAAATGTCGATTGATTTTTAACGAATGGAATTTCCTGGAATGCAATTAGTGAATTGGATTGAGCGCTAACGGGAAATTGCATTAGATTATTTTATTAATTCCAATATGTATTTTGCGAGTTTGTTTTTGCCAAGGACTTTCGTTACTATTCACGGAATAACAAAAATAACAGGGGCAGTGTCGCGATCAGCAATAAGCGAAATTCCGAGAGGGAGAGAGAGAGAGAGAGATGGATTTGAATTTTAAATTCATTCCTATTCGATTCTGTGATGCAGAACGGGGGAACGTTGACGAAGTGATCGTGAAGAACGAATCCCTCGCGATAAAATTACGTTTTGACACGTTGATACCACCACGGTTTTCTGTGCATGACACTCTGACACTCACCCATCTAAATCACGTCTCTTTTCTACTTGTTCGATTCAATTTCCAGATAATGATGTTCAATATTATTCTTTCATTTTTTAATATAGTTGACAATTCTTTCATCTTACAAGAGTATCAATTTCCGGATGCGGAAACTTTTCATTCTTCTTTTAACGAATCGTATTAATACATATATTCAGTTAAATAAAAATTAATTTCTTCAAAAATATAAATTTTTGTAAAAATTGTCTTAATGAATTTGCAGGAAAGTTACCTTCAATTATTACAGCCAATGTGGTAGCAAGAATGATCCAAGTTGTTGAGATGTTTGTTGTCATCTTGATTTCTTTTTAGATGATTCCACTTCACTCACATAATAAAAACTGATCACTGTGTTCTTCAACCTGAAACAAAAAGCGTATTTGTTATTTCTCGTGGATTATAATTTAATCATGACACGCTACATTCTACAAAATAAATGAATAATTCTTCTATTCTATATGTAAAAGTTTTTCCCCTATTGGACAAATTCTATTTTTATTCTCGCCCTCCAATGGATGAAAATTAACTGGAAAAGTTTTATTGGAATGCATCTCAATAAAGGATAATAATGTCGTTCGTGGTTAGTCACATTCTCCACATTTGAGGGGTGAATAAAATATCATCCGAACAAATAAAAATAAACTCAAAGTCATTTCAAATATATACCTTATTTTAAATAACCAGTATCTAAAAGTTATTTAAATTAGAATCTATAAAATCTATATTTATAAAATTTTCGTCTTTAAAAAAAATCCTTGGACTCGTTTTGTACTTTTTTTCGGGAGGCATTAAATCAGTTTTCCATGTAATCGTGAATCCATATCTAATCACTTCGGACACGATATGCCATTTATTCAAATCATACATGACATTCCGTGTTAAAATGTCCCTGGAGAAAGATGTATAACTCTTTTTCTCTCTTTCTTTTTCATACAAGTATTTCCGACCCCTCTAGGACACACGCATTCCCCCCCTGGTATTAATTTATTTGACATGCTTTCTCCTCTCATTCATAGATGAAATGGTACATTCATAGAAGTGCAAATCCCCTCTCAATCTAAGGTCAAAGGAAAACAAACGACCATTTTTTTCAGTCACGAAAAAAAATTGTACACACGACCATTCTTCTATATTATAAATTGGAAGAAATATGAGATTCGAGATTAGACTTTTATGCCTCCTCTATTATAATTATACCGCAAAATAGCCATAAATTTTTATCAGAACTATAATTATATTCTCGTTTTAATGTATTCAGAGAGGGATTTTCGAAAGTGTTTCAAAAGTATTTCAAAGTATTTCAATAGTGTGACAAATATTTGAAAGGTTGCAAAAGTATTTCAAAAGTACTTCTAAATAAATTTAGTACCTATGTTCTTATTTAGAACACGGAAAATAAAAAGTTTCCAATACTCGAAAAATATCCATTCCTCCCAAAGTGTGAGTTTAAGGGAAAATAAAAACAAAAGGAATTGAAAAATTACGGTTTGACATATATAGAAAAACAGAAAATAGATATATAAATATATATACATTCGGTTGAGATTTATGTTTCAAATGTTTCCTAAATGTGTACCTTTCGTTGGAAAAATAATCCGAGAATGTTGTGAATTGGTTTTTTTTTCTCTGTATTTCATTTTATTTTTTATTTTTACAAAGTGCAGTGTTAATCTTGTCGAACGCAAAGTGCACGAGTCCATGAAAAGAGACATTTCCAATGTAAAAAGAAAGAATCGAATAGAACATGCTATTTGATCAGTTTTTCTAGCTACTAACAGCTGATGCATACACAACACGAATGTATTTTACCAGTTGAAATACATCTTTACTTGTATCACTTGAATCATCCCTCTCTCGCGTTTAAATTCAAACAGAAAAAAAAATCCAGACATAAAAGGTGGAGGGAAATTTTTTGACAAGCTTCAGTGAAATCGTTTTTATGTTTAACTTGAAATAAAAATAGAAATACTATAACCAATCTTTCATTTCTTTTTCTATCTTTCTTTTTAGTTAAAACAACATTTGCTTTTCATAACGGAGCAAAATTTAAATGTTAAATTAAATATGTATTTAAATGTTACATTAAAGAAGTATTTAAATGTATTTAAATGTTAAATCAAATAAATATTTAAATGTTAAATTAATTAAGTATTTAAATGTTAAATTAAATTAATTCTGCAGTTTTACTCTATTTTTAGCATAATTCAAAACATTTGGAATTATCGGTGACAAAATAATATTCTACATTGAATTGAAATAATTTGATTCACAGGAACAATTAAGCAGATATTTGTTCTTACGACTTAGGAATGACAAAAACACAAGCTTCTAAAGGATCCTCGAGAACGATTTATTACCCTATTTCAGCCCCAACAAATTTTGTCCTCTGTCTTCTGGAGAATTCATCTTAATACCAATTGTTCAAAAAAAAAAAAAATTCGCTCCCTTTATTTTATTTATAGAAAACAAATGTTATTTTTTCTCTACACATTTCAAAATTTATTTACACAATTTTCTAAAAGTTTATACTCGAATATTACGAACTTAATAAATTCATAAAAATCTTCATTACTCCAATAATAAATTGCAAACTATCTTAAGAATACATATTAACACTTGATTAATTTTGAAATATTATTTTAAAACTACTATAGTTACCAAATTACTAATTAAATAGTATAAATTAAAATTCAATTCGATTGAATTAATTTTGTCTAGTATAACAATTATTTGTTCTTTTTTTGCCTCCGGAGTTTAATATTCAAAATTCTAAAATAGATATTCCGAAAATAAAATTCGAGCACTGGTAAAAAAAACATTATTTTTATAAATGCTAATTGAATAATTTCATCAGTCGGGCATTAATAATAAAAGTATATTAAAAAATGTTGAAACATAATTAATTCGTGGTTTCCGTTGAAGGGGTACGTTAAAAATTTATTGTGTTTTAATAAAGCGACACCGGCGCCGCGAGTGGTCAACGAACGGTACTCCCTTGACGGTCACTCCTGCCTTTCGTTATCGTTTTGTTTAGAGATTTTTAATCCAAAGCAATCTAAACTCATTTATTCACAATATCGACAAATTATCGTTCGATGTTCTTCTCCATAATGAGGGTAAGTCAACAAACGTAATATTTTATCTCTAACCAAAAAAAGAAATTCTCTACTATCCAAACGTAATAATTTTGAGGTTAGGAGAACCAACCGACACAACAAACTTTAATACCGAAAATTACTCTATTTCGACGGGGGGAATTTTGAATTAATAATTCTATTTCGAATTCAATTCAGAATTAATAATTTTATTTAGAATTCTATTCAGAATTAATATTATTTAGAAGTATTAATTCTAATTAAAAGAAACAAAAAAGTAACTGCCCGGCTGTCATTTAATTAACAGCGAAAAAGTATTAATACAGCTTTTGAGAGGGTAAAAAAGCAATTTTCACTAGAATCCGCAACTCACTATTTCCTGTCTTCTTCCCCACTAATTTTTTTTGCTACGGATCAGCGTTCGTGACAAGTGTGGAGAATCCAGTTCTCCACGAGATTTTGCAGTTGGGGCGTTTTAAATGCACCAGTTACATCGACCGTGAAAAAAGACCGGGTTCTTTGGCACATTGCCCGCGTTTGCCCCCAAAGTAAAAAAAAATTAAAATTAAATTTAAAAAAAAGAAATGAGAGAGAAAAATCTGAAAGAAAATATGTATATATATAAACAAAAAAGACACCTTATTTTCAGGTCGACATTTTCTTCGTATAATAACGGTGGGCAATCACCTCGGAAGCGCTTGTTTTCACGCAACACAACTATTCATCATTCTCCCTCTGGATGCAAACAATTCAGAGCCAAGTTTCCTTCAGTCTCATGAAGTGGTTTTCACGCTGACCCGAACTCTCACAGACAAAAAAAAACACAACATCGATTTTTACACTAAATAGAAGGATCACCAATCAATACACTTTGTGGATTTATCACTTTTCTACAACTTTTTTTAAATTTCACTCTACTTTTTTTCTCACTCACTTTTCAAGATAGTCCAAGGAACTTTTGTTTCCGTTTCGAAAAAAAACCGATTACAAAACCGCAGGACGATAAATGAACTTACGAATGAGGTTTTAATCGAAAAACAAGTGGTGACTTTGGGGGAATTTACTATTTTTATCCAATTCAATACTTTTCAGATTTCCTTCCACTTTTCTTCCATTATCAGTTCCACTCATATTTGAAATTTATTTAATTTTTGAAGAAACCCCTCTTGAAGGTTTTTAAAAAACCCCCTGCAGTATTTTAGACATTCTCAAGAAATTTACGAAAGAATTTGGAAATTGATCAGTCTTGTGGTCATGTTTTGGTTCTTATAATCACAGGTGTGAAAACTTCCAAAAAGAATTGAAACATTTCGTAGGAGAGAAAATAAAAAAAATCACTTGTCGATTGATGGGAATCCAAATCTCCTATGTACACACCTTGCTCAGGTAGGTCAGAGCTGCGCCTTCGAAGGATCAATTTTCGAGATACTTATAAATACATATTTTTCAAACTCTTTAGAAATGGTACGAAAATAATTGTACGAATTATTGATTAGTTGTAAGATTGATAATTATTGTAAATGTTTATGCAAAAATGGAAGCAAAAGTGCATCTTGATAATCATCAGATCACGTGCTCTCTGGGGAAAGAATAAAAAATTTCTAATCTCTCATCAGCGGAAGACTAGATTTTATGTTCGCTAATTTATTTTCGTATTCGTCATGTAAGAAGATATTTGAGATCTCTAAAGAATTTTTCTCACTATCGATTGTTCGAAATGAAGAGATAATTCTTCGGCGTGTCGATAAACACACTAGCACAATGATTTTAACGAGGAGTCACCCGTCATCGCGAGACGGGGCTCCGAACTCGTGGAGGGTCCAGTGATATCGAGGGTAGGGGGACAACACCACAACGTGACTCGAGAGTTCCGACCGAGTCGCTGCGTGATAGCGAACTGTCGACTTCCCAAAGGTCGCAGCGCCACAACGTCGGTTATTTGAGGAACTATCAACAACATCACCACCACCACCAACCACCCCTATTCACGATGACTTGATTCACGCACTTAGATATTTCGCTACCCCCAACAAGTCCTTTATATGTGCGCATATATCGAGTGAGACCTTCTAATTGCTAATAGCTGACACAGTGATAGCCTTCGATCACCTAAACCCTACGTCAACGGCGCTACTGCTTACATCCTAATATACCTAATTAAGTAAATGTCTCAAATAAACAAGAAACCCTTCAGAAGCTATTTTATGTCTACTTAAGTATCAATATCAGACTTGTAATGAATATTATGATAGACAGTTGTTTGACAGTAGTCGAAAATTGATATCTTATTCACAGTTACTAATGTAAAAATCAAAAAGATATTCAAATAATGTTTACCTACATGAGACAGTAAAAATTATTTAAATATTGATGTTTCCGTCACATTTACAGCATAATTTATTCAAATTCGACACTTTTAAACAGATTTCATTTATTTAAAATTAACTATTTCCTTCTTTAATATTTGTACTGACACGACCGAGTGACCTTAATAGGAATAATATAATTAATTTAATATAAATTTTCTAATTGTTAATAATGATAATCTAATTGTTTATAACAATATTGTTGTTCATAAAAAAGTAACTAAGTGTAATATCAACAACAATTATAACAAATATTTTAAACATTTATGATAATTTTACATTAAACATTTATAAACCTTCATTAACAACAATTATAACAAATATTGTAAACATTTATAAATATTTGACAATAAACATTTATAATTATTTGACAATATACATTTATAAACCTTCATTAACAACAATTATAACAATTATTGTAAACATTTATAATTCTTTGACAATAAACATTTATAACCTTAATTACCAACAACAATAATAACAAATTTTGTAAACATTTATGATTTTTTGATGATAAACTTTTATAAACATTCATGAACAACATTTATAACAAATTTTATAAACATTTATAACTATTTGACAAAAAACATTTATGTTTAACAACAATCGTAACAAATATTGTAAACATTTAGTATTATTATTTGACAATAAATATTTTTAAACCTTCATTAACAACAATTATTGTAAACTTTTATTATTATTTGGCTGTAAACCTTCATTAACAACAATTATAACAAATATTGTAAACATTTAAAAACCTTCATTAACAACAATTTTAACAAATATTAACAACAATTATAACAAGTATTGTATATATTTACAATTATTTGACAATAAACATTTATGTTTATCAACAAATATTAAAAACATTTATAATTCTTTGACAATAAATAATCATAAACCTTCATTAACAACAAATTTTGTAAACATTTATGATTATTATGACGATAAACTTTTATAAACCTTCATTACTAACAATTATAACAAATTCTGTAAACATTAATGATTATTTGACAATAAACTTTTATAAACCTTCATAAACAACGTTTATAACAAATTTTGTAAACATCTATAACTATTTGACAATAAACATTTATGTTCAACAACAATTGTAACAAATATTGTAAACATTTATAAATATTTCACAAAAAACATTCATAATTATTTGACAATAAATATTTCTGTTTAACAACAATTTTAACAAATATTGAAAACGTTTATAATTCTTTGACAATAAATATTTATAACCCTTCATTAACAACAATTATTGTAAACATTTATAATTATTTGTCAACCAACATTCATAAACCTTCATTATCAACAACAATTATAACAAATATTTTAAATATTTATAATTATTTGACAATTAATTTGTTAGAAATAGTCAATGTTTAACCATCTGTTAGTTTTACTTATATTAAATTGACTCCAAAAATTTAATCTAAAAAGACATCTTTTCAATTTTAGCTTCATTAAAAAAAAAAAGTTTTTGAAATTAAAAAATTATAAAATGCATTTTAGAAAAACTGTACCCTAATCGAAAAAGTAATTTTAAAACGTAAGTTGCAAACTATAAATTTAAAAAAAAAACTTTTAGCCATGTTGGAACCGCCTTTTTGAATTTTTTAAAACTGACTTCGAATTAGTTGAACCATCGACTCCGAAAACTACCAAGTAACGAATTTTCAGACAATTTAAAATAAAATTTTAATTTTGAGCCACTTTTTTGTCAAAATTCCCCAAAGTGCTTTGATTTTTAAATAAATGTGCCGAGAAAAAACGAAATTTTTTTTCTCGACAATTAAATTAATTTTGTCAGACATTGTAAAATTTACTCTAGAACCGTGTGGTAAATGTAAACATGTTAAGAGAGCAATGCATTGGTGAACAGTGTTTACAGAAACGATGCTAAAGGTCATTGCAGATAGTACATTTTCTCATACAATTCCAGACCAAATTAGCTAAAAATTGTTTTACAATTTCAAGATAACATTCTCAATGAAAGTAACTAGAGATTTTTTCTTTTTATCAAAAACTTTTTTTTAGTAACAATTTATTATCGATTTTTTACAATGAAAAAAAACTGACAAACTTTAGAAAATAAATTTTTTAAATATTTACCCTACTTACAGCCTTTCATCAACAAAATCTGAAGTATTAGTCATAAACGCATTTTTCTAGAAAAATGTTTCAAAAAAAAAAATCTTGTCATTTATTCCATAACATATAAGCTGCTGCAAAGAATTTTTTCCGTCTCAAAAAATAACAAGGCTTACTAATTTTTTGTTCCAAGTAACAAATACTTTTATTTCCTCTTTTTATTATCAGATTCTGACAATTTATCCTGACAGAAAGAGGTTTTTTTAGAAGTGAAACCTTTTTTTAGATCAATGGAAATGCTTCTACTTTTTTATATTCTTTAGCATTAAAAAAAACTTTGCGAAGCCGATACTGAGAACAAATAACGAGCGCGTTTGTTCGCATATAACGAATCTCGATTCACCTTTATCCAAACTAGTGTGTAAGAGAACATAAAAATATTTTCCGTTGAGAATATGGTCAAGCTTTACCTGATGCGCACAATAAATATTAATTACATCTATCGGTAAATTTATGATTATTTCTATTTATTCAGTGAATTACATTTTTTTCCCTGAGCAACAAAAAAAATTTTTATATCCAATATAAATTTTTTTATTAAAAAAATATAATAATTTTTTTTTAATTTAAACATGTAAAAACATTTTTTATTCGTTCTCTCGTTTTATTCTGAATTTAAAATTTGTTAAAAAATCAATTTAAAACATTTTTAACTCTGTTCCAATTTTTTCGAATTTTTGTCATGCACTATTCAAACTGGGTAATTTTTTTTAAATATATCAAAAAAGTTAACTTTAGATAAAAAAGGGCCCTAAAAAAATAAAATTTATATTTGATGTGCGAGACTAGAATACTTTTGTACGTTCAGCGAACTGAATCTCAATTTATAAAATCAATAATTGCAGTTTAACGTACTCTTGAATTAAAAAAATAAACAAATCGAATATTACTATATTATTATATTATTATTGAAAATTCAAGCTTAAAATAAAAAAAAGTCGTATTATCGAAAAAATAATTTCATTTTGTAATTATTTCAATTTAAAAAATTAAACTCTAAAATATTTCCAAGGAAACTCTCTTCTTCGAATTCTTTTTAATTCAGAATTAAATTAAAGTCTACATAGTTTAAAATAACAGGTTATATCATAAATAATTTTTTTATTTGTTCGATGTAAGTAGGAAAGAAAACCAATTTAAAGAGAAAAATGGGAATTTTGGTGTAATTTCTTAATCAATGTTCTCTATATCATCTTTGCAGCGCCCTAACTTCCGTGATGCATGTTTGGTTGAAACTCGCATTTACAACGAAAAATCACGTGACTCATAAAAGGCAGTGTATAAGTGGTCTTAAATCATTTTCAGCAACCATAATGCATACATTCGTTCACTTTTCTCATGTACCGCAAAGTGAGAAATTTTTTTCTTTGGGTTCTTTTTATAAAAACCAATAAAAAAGTTGATGCACGAAGTTGACAAAGTTGCGTGGGCTCAAGAAAAGTTTTGCCATTTTCAGTTTATTTCATACATCATAAAATGTATTTTTTATTGTAAGTTTAAAAATTTTCAAAGAGTTGGTTTTATTTCGAAATTTTTCAATTCTAATGCAAATTATTATATTCTTACTAAAAATAATTAATAACAATGTATTTTCATTATTAATCATCCTGTTTCATGTTTTAGAAAAAAAGTAATTATACAAATCATCAATTGTCTTTCCGAGGAAAAAAGAAGGAATTACCTCTTCAGGTAGTCAGTTGTACTCTGACTTCGACGATGAGCAGACCGTTCAGAGGGTTATTGAAAACCCACTGAATTACTCAATTAAAAAAAAATTATTTAAGAAAAACCTGGCGCATTTTAGACATTTTTTAAACCTCGTCAAATTTTATAACATAAGACAAAAATTCAAATTTATAATTTCATTAACGTCCTCCATTTTTTAAAACCCACTGAATCACTCAATTAAAAAAAAATTATTTAAAAAAAACCTGGCGCATTCTAGACATTTTTTAAACTTCGTCAAATTTTATATAACAACATAAAAATTCAAATTTTTAATTTCATTAACGCCCTGCAATTTTGGTATGAAAATTATTTTCAACCGTCAATGACACATTACATTAAATTTTAAAAAAACAACCCCTTCACTTTGACTTCGAAGATGAGCAGACCTATGTTGAGAGGGTCATTGAGAACCCTCTGAATTACTCAATTAAAAAAAAATTATTTAAGAAAAACCTGGCGCACAATGGTTATTTTTTACTGTATGGAAAGAAAATTTAATTCCTGACAATTCAATTTTTCATTTTTCCCTGCTCAAAAATAATTTGCATAAAAAAATTGATATTTCAACACCCTATGTTTATTTCCCAAGAAAAATATTCCACGATGGTCAATTTCAAAGTTCAATATAGAGTCAGACTAAGAGGTTAATTATGGAAAACTAGTTATAGAAGTTAGAAGGAACATTTTCATGTCTCTAGCATCATTTTAGAGTGAATTTAGTCAGTGCAGGTATAGATAATGTTATAACTGAAGACATAGACAGTTAGAAGACTTTGTTCATAAATGTTCATAAGGGTTTCCATATACACAAATACTAATAACATGCAATGTTATCTAAGGACCATTTATGAATCCATTTATTTATCTTACTATGTAAATGTGAATTGTGTAAATGTTGAAACATTCTCTTACACACATAGACACAATTGTTTCTACATGAATAGATGTGTGAATTTTCCAACACAATTCAGTGACTGATCATTCGAAACGTATCTGCGCAAACTTCCGTCACGAGTTGAACGCCTATCGTATCGAGTAATAATACAATCCTCAATGTGTGTGACCCAGCTCAATACAGCACTCTATGAAACGGGTATTTCAATTACGTTTGATATGGGTGATCGACTGGCAACATCCACC